CATTGGCTGTTTTTTTTTTTTTACTTTGATAATCTATCATCTCTCTTTGTCTCTGTCTTGTCTCTTTGTCTCTGTCTCTGTCTCTGTTGTGAACTGTTGACATACAGGTTTATTTAATTCACATAGGTGTGTTTAATTGATCCAGTTAGAAATATAGATTTTTTTATCTAGGCTTATTTAATTTATCCAGTTAGGAATTTCTTGAGCTTTCTATTTTTGAGATTTATTAATTTTAAACAATTATATAAAATTCTCATCTAGAATCCAAGTCCTTTTTATTTTAGTGAGTAGATTTTATTTATTTTTGAACTACACTACACTTAAGTTATCTAGTTGTACATCATCCATTTAATTCTCTCAACTGTATGTAATGTACTCTTTAATTCCTTCTAGTGAGTTTTTCACTTCAAAAATTTGTTGTTTGTATTATTTCCTTCTTTCTTTAAAATCTTTCTGCTGTTCGCTGATACTTTCTCATTATTTGTCATGATTCCATAATTTTTAAACATCCTGTACATAGTCTTTTTTGCAGCCTGCATCAAATATTTCCTGTTCTTAAGGATCAAAATTTATAGGTCCTTGATACTTCCAATCCTTACAGTGACATTGCCACACTGATTATGTTTTTAAAATGGGAAACATTAGTAGGTCTTAATCTGTGGCTATTATATAAGAATAACTTGATTTTTTCAAAGAGAAAAGTTTAACAGTGATATAGTATTCATCATTAGAAGAAAATGTGAGACGTGTCTGCATTTTCTTCTCTCCAGAGTTTCAGAATTATAGTTATATTCTCCCTCACAGTAACTGTGAACCCTCTTTTTAATGTTCTGTTTTCTAGACATACATAGATTTAACCTTTTTTCCCCTAATTATTTTGTGATTTGCTTTTATACTTTTAAATAACCTTGCTTTTCCTGGTCTTTCTTGATTATTCATTTTAGAGCATTTTTTATTTCTTTTTACTTTAGAAAGTGATCCTTGGTGGTCTTTTAACTCTTTCCCATTTCCATCACCTATTCTTAATATGCCCATACTCACAATATTGTGGTTAAGCGTAATTCCTTGATTCATTTATTTTTCAAGAATTTGTTGTTCTGATTACCAATACTATTGTATATTTATGTTGAATCCTATAATTTGCTATGTGTATATATATATGTATATATATATACACACACACATGCACACATGTATATATATACACACATATATATATATAATGTGTTTTTTATATGTACATATATAAAATATACATATGTATATAGTTAGCACATTTGTTTTTCTTATATTTAATAACTGTGTTTTGTTCCCAGAAATTTTTACTTGTCACTAATCTGATGTAATCTTGGGGATTTCCATCACTTATTTCCCATATTGGGTCATTTATTTTCTGGAGTCTAATGTCTTTTTTTGGTGTTACTCCTTTTTTGGTGGAGCTTGTACTTTTTTAATATATATTGCTTATGGTGACTTTAGTATTCAGGCATCATTAATTATTAAATTTATTACTTATATTGCAAGAGATTCGTTGATAAGAATAAAAAGTTCATTTTAATTTAATTATAGGTTTAGGTGGACTATAGGAAAATCTTTTAATTCTTAAGCCTTATTTATGTATTCTTGAGTTTAAATTTTTTAAACTTTAAATTATGTTCAATTGATTTCCTTAAAATCTAAAGGTCTTCATAAACAATTTTGACATTGGAGAAAAATTTTATTTCTCACCCTATATCATTTTTAGAAAAAAATAACTTGTAAAATAATACAATACAAATTAAATCTTGCTGTACACTATAGCTGTATTTTTGTTAGAATGTAATATTGGTAGTCTCCTTTATTAGAGCTGCTAGAATTTATTGAAAACTAAATATGCTTTTGGAAAAGTTCCATTTACTTTCCTTAATTTCAAATAGCATTTTATGCTTTTGTTTATATGTTTCTAGTATTTGAGAAATAGAGTGCTATTATGTGATAAACTAAATGGGTTTTGCAATCTACCCTCTCCCTGTCTACCATTATTCTGAAAAAAAAATTTTTTTAAGCTCTTGGTGTATGCTTGGTTACTTTTTTGCATGTTTTAGAGCCATATGATAATAAAACTGAGACATACTTTTCCCTCATGTTCCTAATATAGTATCTTCCTTAGTGGAGCTAATTATATGTTGAAAAATATATGTGAAAATGCAAAGACTTCTTTACATTGTATATAAATTATGAACAGAATGTTCAGCTTCAGCTATGTTTCACGTAAGCAACTTTTTATCAAAATCAACAAAAATGTGATAGGATAGAATTCCAATTTATTGCCCTTTAAGTTTGTGTTTTTTTCTGATAGCTTGTATTTCATACAGGGAATACTTTCTTTGCTTAATGAACTGAATGGTTATAATAATGTTTGTTTAGACAATGAGTTAGGTTTCTCATATTGACAAAGAATACATGTATGACTTATTTCACTTGAGTATATCCTCTATATCCATCCATTTTCCTATGATTGAGTAACTTCTCATTCTTTATGGCTGAGTAGAATTCCATTGCACAGAAAGACCATATCTTCTTTATTCAGTCTCCAACTGATGGGCAAATGGGCTGTTTCCAAGTTTTAGCTATTGCAAACTGTGCTGCTATAAACATGGGTGCACATATATCACTGTGGTATGATTCTTTTTTTATCTTTTATTGAGTTTATTGGTATCTTTTAGCTATACAGTACAGTTACATTCATTATTGGGATCTTGTACCTTTACATGACAGGTGGTCTTGGTTCTAATTTTTTCCCCTTGTCCCTTCCCTCCCTTCACGCCCTCTCCCCTCCCCATTTACAAACACTTTTTTCCATTTTGTCATATTTTTTTCCCTTAATACCTTTCCCCTACCCTTCCCACTTTCCATACACCTTTAGCCCCTTTCTTCCTATTTCCCATTATCAATTATCTCATTGGGATCTTATGTACTATTATAGTTTATTCAGAGAAACTATTTGGTATTTACACATGTGTGACTTATTTATTTCACTTAGGAGTATCTCCTCAATATGTATCCATTTTCCTACGAATGAGTCTAATTTCTCATTCTTTATGGCTGAGTAGGATTCCATTTTATAGAAAAACCACATCTTTATCCAGTCTCCAACTGATGGGCAAATGGGCTCTTTCCAAGTTTTAGGTATTACAAACTGTGCCGCTATAAACACAGGTGCGCATATATCACTGTGATATGATTCTTTTAATTGTTTTGGAAAGATACCCAGCAGATGGATGACTGCGTCAAATGGAACTTCTGGTCCTAGCTCTTTGAGGTATCTCCATATTGATTTCCACAGTGGTTGCACAAGTCTGCATTCCCACCAATAATGGAGAAGGGTTCCTTTCTCACCACAATCCCGCCAACATTTGTGAAAAACTATAATTGTAAATAAGATCCTAATGGTATAATTGACAATGTGAAATAGGAAGAAAAGGGCTAAAGGTGTAGGGGAATTGGGAAGGGTAGGGAAAGGAAATAAGAGAAAAGAAAAAATGAGAAAATGAAAAAATGGAAATTAAATTTTTGTAAATAGGGAAGGGAGGAGGGGGTGAAGAGAGGGTAGGGACAAGGGGAAAAAATGAGAACCAAGACCTGTCATGTAAAGGTACAAGATCCCAATAATGAATGTAACTGTATTGTATACCTAAAATATACCAATAAACTCAATGAGAAAAATAAAACAAAACAGCAAAGAACAATGATAACATTTACTCACAGGGCCAATTTTAAAATAACTTTCATAAATTTTACTCATTATTTTTAAAGATAATGTACCTATAAAAAGCTTTAATTTGTATTCCATAAAATTAATTTTTAAATTATATATTAGGCTTTACTGTGCAGTTGACCTTCCTTATCTGTGGTTTCCACATTTATAGATTTAATCAATCATATTTTGAAAATATTAAAAAAATTCTCTTTGAAGTGAGCATGTACACAATATTTAATGTCATCAGTCATAAACTATGTCATATGACAATTATTTATGTAACATATTGTAGTTGATATTATGAGTAACCTAGATATGATTTCAAATATATAAGAGTATATGAATAGGTCATATGCAAATACTATATCACTTTGTATAAGAGACTTCAGATCTGTAGGTTTTGATATCCATGGGATGGGGCCAAGAATCAACACCTTTTGTATACCAAAAGATGATTTAATTGAGAAAGTTGCACAGCCATCACCATTTTCTAGTTGCAGAACATCTTCATAATTCTGTATAAAAATCATGTTCCACTAGTAGTCATTTCCACTTCCTCTCTCCCCCATACCAGTGGACTAGACATATATATATATATACACACATATATATATATGAATGACTGGCTTGTTTCATTATGTTTCACAGTTTGTCCACTCTATAGCATGTATTCGTACTTTATTCCTGTTTTGGATGTATAATTTTCATTTTATATGTACAGCACATTTAAAAATATTTTCAGAAATGTTTGTTTTCACTTTTTTTGCTATTTCAAATAATACTGATATGAAAAATTGATGTGTGCGCATATACTTTTCATTCTCTTTTGTTTGTATCTAAGAAGAGATTTACTAGGTCACTATATAGTCATATTTGTGAAATTTTTTAAGGAATGCCATGCTTCTTTCTTTTTCTTGCTTGCTTTTCTTTTTCCTTCCTTCCTCCTCCTTCTTTCTTCCTCCCTCATCCTCTCCCTCCCCCTCCCCCTCCCTCTCTCTCTCTCCCAGGGATCTAACTCAGGGCACTTGTGAGACTGGCGGTGCACCACTGAGCCAAATTCCCTGGCCCCGTCATGGTATTTTCTAAAGTGGCTAAACCATTTTACCAACCATCCATTGAAGGAGGGTTTTAATTCATCCAAATCTTGATGATTTTTTTTCCTTATTGTTGTTCTTTTAAGAATAAGTATCCTACTTGTAACGTGATATCAGCCTTACTATTTGTATGAGGAATTGTTACTATTTTTAATCTTGTTTTAAAGGTGCAGTACTTCTTTGTAGTGTACAAGGATTTGCTATTAATATTGATCCAGTCTTATACACATGGCTCATCTACCAGCCTCAGAAACGAACAAGCAGACATATGCAGCAGGTAAGAGACTTTTATTTTTCTCTTAATGATAAAACTTTTTTCATATAGTGGAGGTATATGTGCCTTTTTATTTGATCTTTTTATAGGTTTACCAGAATTTTTCAGTATACTACACCATTCGTTTCAAACACTGTGTTCCTTAATTTTATTTATCAGAAATTGCAGCTGAACATAGAGTTTCTTTGGCCCTTGAGGAAGATTTCTGTACAATAGGGTATAGAGTGGAGAGATTAGCAAGACTAGTATGCAATTTGGTTCGCACAGAACAGACATTGCTCGGTAAATGTTAGCTTTTGTTTTTACAGTCTCTACATTTCTTCTTCACTTTTAGATTTGTTCACCAAACATGCATAATGTCTAATAATGAGAATGGGATGCTTGCTGCAAATATGTCTTTTTGTTTAAAAGGGCATAAGACACAAAATAAGAGAAGTAGGTGATTGCTGCTGCTAGAAACTTAGGTGAAATTTTCCTAGGTTATCAACTGTAGCTGTAGCAGAAATGGATGCTTACTGAGACTGACTTATCTGCAGTCACATATAGTAAATGGCAGGACTGAAAATTTTTGAGGCCATAATTATATTGTTTGGGATTGTATTTCCCCATTGGTACAATTGTAATTTTCTGGTATTCTACATGAAATAATTTGGTATATTTTATTCTAAAGTAAATTAGTGTTAGTTGGTAGTGGAAAAATACATGATTTTGTATTTATAAAAGATGTAAAAAATTAACTGAGATATACAATTCAAGGATTATCATTTTATTGATTGATTTTTGGTGCTGGGGGTTGAACTCAGTGCTTCCCATATGTTAAGCATGTGCTGTACCACTGCACTATATCCTCAGACCCTAAGGAATCATTTTAAAAATCTTTTTTCACCTTAGCATAATTTCATTAGAAATTTCTGCCATCCTTCCCTGTTCCAAGCTTTATTTTAATAAGGAGATATTGAATATAAGGTATATGCTAGGTATCAAGTCTACCAAAATAAAAGTTACCACTGGGAATATCTCTCATATTTGGAGTATTTACTATATTGTAGAATGTTAGTAAATAAGGAAATGTTATTTGTGGTACTTTACATGCAGATCTGTGGCTAGGACTATGTGAAAACAAAAATGAGTTACTTTCTCACATTGATACACAATTCCTGACACCTATATCTGTAAGGAGGAAAGGTGTATTTGGAGGTTTTAGTTCATAATTGGCTGGCTCCAAGGCAGAAGAATATGGCAAAAGGGCATAGAAGATGAGAAACATTTCATGGTGTGGCAGCAGGAAGCAGAGAGAGAGAGAGATCAATAGAAGAGAGAGGGAGAGGGACCCTTCTAGGACACACCTCCAGTGACCCACCAACATGACATTTAGCTATAAGCTCACCAGTAGACTGAATCACTGATGAGTATCACACCCCCATCTGTAAGTACCTCCTAAAAGCCCCATCTGTAAATACATGAGGAATGAGGGACATGTAGATATAAACTATAACAGAAGGGATGTGTGAAAAGTGGAATTAAGAATTAAAATGAGGGCCTGGGCTGTAGCTCTGTGGCACCACACCTGCCTGGCAAGCGCAAGGTCCTGAGTTTGATCCCCAGCACTGCAAAACCCAAAACAATGTGAGCATCAAGGAGTAAACCAGCTACAGAGGGTTGTTTCCAACTGAAGTATTTGAACAAAGACAAAGAACATGCAAATTGGTGTCAAGCAAGAAACTTCTGTAGGTCTAAACCGGAGTAATCTCTTCTTGCAGAGAGTAGTAGAAATTAGAAATCAACTTCTAGTGGATTTTATTTGTAATTCTGTGCATTTGATACTATCCTAAAGGGTAAAAAGATGCTATGGGAAACTGATATAAAGATTTGGGTTTTAGAAAATTTACTCCAGCTGAATGCAGAAGATGGGTGATAAAGAAGTGAAACTAATGACAAAGAACCATTTGAGAAAAAGTTTCATTATGAATTCTTATGTTCATTATAAATTCCTATTTCAAAGTTGATGTAGTTATTTCCAGTATATTCTTTATGTCCTCAAAGGTGAAATAGAGTGTTGTAGCAGCTTAATTAAGTAAATTAGACACATTAACTGAAGCCAAACACATGCAAGGATTTTGGTTTTTAACTGTTGTTATCATTACTATATTAAGTTAAATTTTAAATTTTTGTGTTCAAAAAGAGTAGCCTTATAAATGTTATTAAGCTAACGAATAGTCATTAGCCATCTTAGAGTTCCAAATATTTGTGTAAATATTTTTGTAATTAAATCTTTTATTCATCTTTATTTACTACGAATATACTTTTAAAAGTATAATTAGTTGATCTAGGCACGTATTTTGACATTTTTAAAACATATTTTAAGATGGTGATGTGGTTGGATTGCTTCAAAAACTTATGCATCATTTAAATTTTCATCAGCAACTTCTAACATCATAGTTAAGCAGAATATACTTCTAAAATGTCTTTTGTCTTCTATTTTAATCTTAAATAGTTTTGATACTCAGCATCATGCAACTCAAATTTTCCCTCTTGATATAAATATTTTCTTAGAGAGACATTTGTATAAACCTAAAGAATCATGTAGAAAACTTTCATATATTTGCTATAGTAGTGTAAAATTGGAAACAATTTAAATGCCCGTGGATAAGGTATGGTTTACTCATATGACCTAATATTTATATATTAAAATTGGTACAATAAGTCTTAGTATAATGTATCAAAATTATATTTAAAGCAAAAAGCAATTTTAAAGATGAATGTAATATGAGAGCATTTAAATATATTTTTCCAAAATGACCCTTAATAATAAATATTAGGTTTAAGTAAATATATATCTATTGGTTAGGATTCTGTAAAAGAATAGAATCAATAGAAAGCACACCCATATATTTAATCAAGAGGATATATGAACATGGAATAGTCAACAGTGAAGGTCCATATGCTGGAGAGAGAAAGAAGATCCAGTTGTTACTTAGTCCAAGAAGATGGAAGCCACAGAACAAGAGGGATCAAGGACCTGGGCATGATAGTTTGTACCTGTTACTCCAGTATTGTGGGAGTCTGAGGCAGGAAGCTTAAAATTCAAGCCCACCCTGGTCAGTCTAGATACTTACTGAGACCCTGTCTCATAATAAAAAAGAAAAAAATAAATCTAAAAGGGATGGGGATATAGCTTAGTGCAAAGACCCTGTGTTCAATCCCCCTGACCCCTACCCCTAGAATCAAGAAAGCAAAAGCGTCTTTGTCTGAAAGCATGGAAGTTCCTTGGAGAGTAGCTGGTGTGAGTCTGTCTTGTAAGGCTGAAGAAAATGGAGTCTGAGATACAAAGGCTGTGACAGTAAGAAAAGATGCGCTTACTTAAATTGGACAGAACTTTTCTAAATGCTGGCAGACTTTCTTTTTCTTTTTTTTTTGTCGGGGGGCACGTACCAGGGATTGAACTCAGGCCCTTGTGCTTGCCAGGCAGGCGCCGGAACCACTGAGCTAAATCCCAGGCCCCGACTTTCTCTTTCTTCCCATTCACCCTGCAAGCTGAATGTATAGTGCCCTCTGTGGTCAGGGTGGCTCTTCCTCCCTTGATTGCTGGCTTGCATACCAGTCTTCTTGGGAAGTACCCCAGCAGACACACTCAGATGCTTGTTTTGCTGATCTGCTCTTAAGTTAGTGGAATTGATAAACCTGATTGAGGGTCACAATTGGCATGCAATATTAATTTTAAGGGCTTTTGCAAATATCGGAATAGTGATTGAATCTGGAAGGAAAAGACAAGAGGTTAGAATTCGGAAAGAAATTTTGTCTTTATCTGTAATATTTTATTCTCTTAAAAAAGCATGTATGATAATAAGTTACTATCAGTCATTACAGCTGTAGTAGGAGTATAGATACTCTTTTACTCTAAAATTCTGTATACTTTTATACTGTATTAAATTAAGAAATTTTAAAAAGGCATTTTTATTGGAAGCCAAGGTATGAGAAGCTTGAAGTATTTTGTGATCATGGCACATTGATGGGGGAAGGATAGGATAGATCTGGGATATATTACAGCTGAAAATTAAGGAATCTCCAGTACTGGAAGGATAAAGAATGTAAGCAGATTAAAGAAAGTTACTGTATTAGCCAGCTTTTCATCACTGTGACCAAATACCTGAGAATATTAATTTAGAGGAGGAAAGATTTACTTTGATTTCAGTCCATGGTTGGCTGCTTCCATTGCTTTGGGCCTTGAAGTGATTGAGAACATCATAATGGAAAGGTCATGGCTCAATTTATGGCAAGTACAAGTCAGAGAGACAGGGAGTCAGAGAGGAAGGACCAGAGCCATGACCCAACCCTTCAACTTGGACCCACCTCCGATTTTCCCATTTCCTCCCACTGATGTCATCCAGTTATCAATCTATTAGGATTAATCCATGGATAAATTTCATAATCCAGTCATCTGGTGACCAAACTTTCACAAAAAGTGGTTTTTGGAGGACATTTTAGATTTAAAAGTAAGTCATAAGAATTATTAAAAGTAAATATTGCTGGGGCTGGGGATGTAGCTCAGTGATTCTACCTCCTGCCTTGCAAGTGCAAGGACCTGAGTTCGATCCCTGGTACCCCCTCCCCCTAAAAAAGGTAAAAAAGTAAATATTGCTTACTCTTTATATATTGAATGGAGAAGCCATATTTCCAGAATAGTGGAGGGAATCACTGGTCTAGCATCTCCAGTAACACTTGCTGCCTGATACGCAATACCTATATCAGCAGTCATTCAACATTATTATTGATGTCTGTTAGGCACTATTATAGGTATTTTAAATATAGCTGTGGACAAGGCATAGAAGAGCCTTGCTCATGTTCAGGATGCTTGATTGATTTTGGTGTATTTTTACTTATGTGAAAACACACTCCATTTCAGCAACTACAAGTAAAGAATTTTTTGTTTTGTTGTCGGGCTTTATCAGTATGATGGTTTTTATTAGTCTTTTAGCTATTGTGCTCAAATTTGGTATCACATTGAGAGCACATAATTTTTCTTTTGTTAATTTATATTAATTTCAATCCTGAGCTTGACTGTAGTTTCTTAGAGTGCTTAGTTATATTCCAAATATGTAAATGGTAGAGAGAAATTTAAGAGAATGTAAAGTCACTAACCATTGGAATTTAAGAAGCTTTTCAGTAAACATCTCCACTTCCTTTAATTTTATAGGTGAGGAGATTACTGTTTTTATTTAAAAATTTTTTTTCAGGAAGTGCTATGAAATTTTAAATATGGAGATATATGTTGCAACTGTATATTTTCTTTGACAGTGATTTTTTTATGGAAAAATGAGATGTAAATGATAAAAACTTAAGATGTGCTGAGCATTTCTTGGTCTTAAGAGCTATTTCTGTTGTATGTGTTATAATTATTGTCATTTTTACTAAATTCTCAGTATGAAAGCAGGCATTTTAAATGTTCAGCATACTGTTATTCATAGTTAATATAGTATTATGCATTTTTACATTTAAATAATTTTTATTTTCTCATTTTCAGATGTTTTAATCCATTTGCTCAGCCCATTTAACAACTTGCAAGATAATTTGCCATTTCCCTTAATTTTCCTATTTACATTATTTGTAAAACTTTGATTGTTGTGGTGTTGAAAATAGCATTTTACTATACTGCCGCACAACTATCCCCTACCACATACACCCTCTACCACAGCTGTGTCACAGTTATCTGTTGTTTCCCAAGCTATAATTTCCTTCTCAGTTGTGGATAAAACCCAACTTTTGATGATTATTTTCCACCCACTTCAACACTGATCTTTGATCCTATCACAAATTTCAAATACCTTTTTTTTTTTTTTTTTTTTTTTTTGCCAAAGATCTGACAAGATTGTATCGGGATTCATCAGCAGTAACATCAGACTTTATTTCAGTGAATAAAGATGAAACAGCTGCTTGTTGTCCAGCTCAGCACTCATCTGATATAGGATCATAATGTTTTCCAGCTTTTTCTAAGCATAGATATTTTTTCTCTGCTTTCTAGATATGCTATGGTTATCATTCTGTCAAACAAAATAGAGCAATTTCTCTGCATTTCTACACACAAAAAAAGGGATTGTCCACCTTAACATACAATTTGTGGTTGTACAGTGTCTTCCTACAAATGCCATTTTATAATGATAACATTCTCTCTCTTTTTCATGGGCTAATAATTTTCAAAGGAGATTTTACTTTTGATTTTACCCTTTCCATATTATCTTGACTTATTATATGTTACCTGAATATTCTCAGGTTGTCTTGATTTCCATGTAGAATTGTCAAAAATCACCTGAAAATACTAAATGGAAAATTTCAGCAATAAATAATTCATTAATCTGTAAAGAATTTTTATTACACTATATTATTGTTTTATTATTTGTTATTGTTAATTTCTCATAACGCCTAATTTATCAAATAAACAGTATTATCAGTATGTAAAACAGTAGTATCAGTATGAAAAGCACTGTAGTTGTCCTTTACTGTACATAGGGCATTGTCTCCAGGAACCCTCTTCAGACATAAAAGTCTGTATATGCGTAAGTTCTTTATATAAATGGCATAATATTTGCACATAACCTATGCATATCCTACCATATATTTTAAATCTTCTCTACATTACTTATACAATAGCTAATGGGATGTAAATGCTATATAAATCATTGTTATACTCTTATTTTGGAAATAATGACAAGATATAAGTTGTTTAGATATTCCATCCAAACTCAGGGGTTCACATTTGATTGAATCCATAGACGCAGAACTCATGGATGTGGAGGGCTGACTGCGTATATAAGGTTTAGCACTATCTGTAGTGTTGGGCATCCACTGGGAGTCATGGAACATATCCTCTGACCATAATGAGTAATTGTATGTGAAAGACAGCTGGAGAAGTGAAGGAAGGAAGAAGCAAGCAAGCAAGGAAGGAAGGGCTGACAGAAGGGAGGGAGGGGAGAATTTAAAGTAATAAACACTCAGCCCCAACTTGTAAGGGACTGACCTTAATGATGCCATATTTAACCTTCATTACTTTAAAAAGGCAGTAATTTTTTTTTCAATTTTGGCTTTCTCACCAGCCTATGATACCTGTTCCTCTTGTTACGCCAATTAGCAAAAGGAAAGAGGATGAGCTCTCTGTTGGAAGTGCACCATTGGCAAAACAACAGTCCTATCAGGCCTCTGAATATGCTAGCAGCCCTGTAAAGACAAAAACACTAACAGGTATGTGTCAAAAAACAGTAAAGAATCTGTGGTTGCATTTCTGAACTAACAAGTTAGCCTGAACCATTTCACAGACACTGCCTACAGAAATGAGGCTCCAGGAATGGAGAACACAGCACTTTATTAGGTAAAACCACAGAGTAATCAGAGCACTACCTTTTTTTGTGGGGGAGGTTCATGTCCTTAGCCTAGTTCCCACAGGGTGGTATGAAGAGGGCCAGAGGTATCTTAATAGAGTGGATTGTATTACTTGGGAGGACCGAAAGTTTAAAGAAATTCTACAATACATAGAAAGCTTGCCTGCCTTTTTATCCAGTGGAAGACCTTTATTTTTTAAAACTCAAAACAAACTTGCCTTTTTCTCAGAGGGCAGATGACTATTCTCTATGCAGATATCCTTAAAACAAAGTTGGGAATAAGAGACTCATGGACTACTGCCTCCCAATAATATTGTTCCTTCCTTAAGTAAATTCTTGAAAACCACATTATAGTACATCTCAATCTTCTTTATTCTTCTTTCTCTCACATTCTCAGATTATTGATGCAAATGTTAAACATAAGTGTTTTTCAGTAAAATGATTACATGTTGTATAATAAAAGCATTTTATGATTTCACTCTAAATGGTGGTTTTTCTTTTTAAATTTTAAGTTTTATGATGAGCCACATTTCTTTAGGTAATTTTATATCTTTCCTTAAATGTTTAGTTTTTTTTGTATAATTCATATATTTTCATCCATATTGATAGATTTAAATATTCAAAAAATTGATACCACCTTTGAGTAATTATGGTCAAGATTCAGTTTTAAGTGCAATTAAGGTCAGAAGAATAAGACACAACCTCTATACTTCTAGAATTTAAAGTATGATTATGTACACAAAAAAGATCAAATCGTGTAATTTAAGGAAAAATTAGTGTCACTTTCTTGCTCTACAACAATTTAAAAAATGCTGAAATAATTTTTGAGGAATTTTTTATATATGTTTGTGCTCTTTATTTTCCTAAAATAACACCTTCTGTATACTGTATGGAATCGTTAGACTTTTACCTGATAATATCTTTAATCTCCTTATTCTCTTGATAATTTATTTTATAATAATCAAAAATATATAATTACTGTTATGTCATAAATAATATGTAAATTGTTTATTTGTTTGTTTTTTTGGGACTGGGGATCGAACTGTGGACCTTGTGCCTGCGAGGCAGGCAGCAGAACCACTGAGCTAAATCCCCAGCCTGATAATACGTAATTTGAATTAAGTTTTAAATGTAAGATTATACCTTATTTCCCATGGTCTATAATTTATATAGAGTTTTGATTATAAAATTATGTCTTCAAGAAGCTTGGGCCGAGTTTTTTCAAGTTTTAATTTCTTTTAAGCTGTCAATTTACATAAAGAATTGTGAATATCACCTCCTTCCTTCATACTGTCGGTTTAAATCCAAGGCCTGGAGCATGCTAAGTACATGCTCTACCACTAAACTACAACCTCAGCCTTTTTATTTTTTTATTTTGAGTTTGGGGTCTCACTAAATTACCCTGGCTAGCCTTGGTCTTTCAGTCTTCCTGCCTTAGATTCCTGAGGAACTAGGATGATAGGCATGTACCATTACATACCACAGGTTTATATGCAAATAGAATAAATTTACTTTTATGAGTGAGCATTTATTTATTAAGAGGTGGTAGTCAGTGAAGGTACACACCTATAATCCCAATACTTGGAAAGCAGGGACAGGAGAATCATAAGTTCGAGGCCAGCCTAGACAAGTTAGTCCAGGCCCTGTCTCAAAACAAAAACATTCAGTGAAGCATCTTAGTGCTAAATCTTGCTTGTCATTTGCTAGTCCTGGGATTCAGTTCTCAGTACTACAAACAAACAAACTATATATTCTGGTTTCTTGCCTTAACATTTAGCTTTGTTCTTTAAGTCATACAATTCACCTAAAGTAATTGTTAGTAAGATGATTAATAGCCATATAAAATCCTTGAAAATGATAATACTTGATATACAACTATGAAGGAAACGTGATCACAAATTTTGAAATGCAGCTTGTGTAGAAAAATTTTATGTGTAAATTCATTAGTCATATGATATCAGTTATCTGAGAATTATTTTGCTTTTATTTTTCTCTGTTTTCTATAGAGATCACTATTAATTTTTTAGTGAGAGAACTAAATAAGAAAAGCTAGAAACAATCTAGGCATGGTGGCATATGCCTGTAGTTCCAGAACTCTGGGAGACTAGGATGCATAGACTGTAAATTCAAGCCCAGCAATGTGGCAACATAATGAGAACCTGTCTCAAAATAATGACTATTAAAATTTCTGAAGTGTAGCTCAACATGAAGGCCCTTGGTTTAATCCTTAGTGCCACATGGTGGAAAAAGCTAGAAACATAATTTATTATTAATAATTTTTATACACTATGGAAACATACATTAATTTTATTTCCTTGTGAACTGTGGTTTTTTTTTTTTTGCCTCAGAGTTGAGAATAATCACCTTTTGTATCTTTAGTGTTTCCCCATCTTTATATCCTTCAGATTTCCTAGAAGTATTCTCCTTGTCAGTGAGAACATTAGTTTTTCAGCAAATACAGGTCAGATTTTTGCTTAAGTTGGCAAAAAAGGTTAACAGCTATCAGATTAATGCTTATGCTTACCCTGCTTGAGGACCATGAAGATTTATAGAAGGTAAAAAAAGCCCTGGGCATAGCATTTATTCTTTGTGAGTTATATAATTATATTCTATGTGTATTATAAAATGTTAATGACATTTCTTTTCCCCCTTTGAGTGCCCACTGTCTATACTTCTCTTAGGAACTTGGGGTAGTTTTCTATATTTTCTTGAGAATATTCTCTGCTAAACATTTTCTCTTCTTAGAATTGAGTTTCAAAAGTTTCTCTTTTAGTTTTGATTAAAATATATAATCTGTTTTAAGATGAATATATTTTGTGATTTCTTTGAATTTGATGACTGCATCCAAATGTCATTATTTTAATTAGAGTTTTAATTATTATATATATTTTATCACACAATGTAATGAACTTGCTAAACTGTTTATAGTCCTTTGCATATCTGCACATGTATGTGTGCCAATTTATTCATATACTATTTTCTCTGCAATACCAAATATTGGCTTTTTTAAAAAAATTTTTTACCATCTTAATGATTTTAAATTTGTGATTCAGTGGTGTTTTTATTCATCTTGTTATGAAATGCCAATTTTAATTTTTAAACTAGTTTTTTCAGTATGAAAACGTTAGTCTTACTTTTATGCCAGAATCCCACTCCCCCTTCAAAAGGCACAGAGTCTCACTATATTGTTTAGGCTGGCCCTAAACTCTCAAGCTCTTGGACTCAAGCAGTCCTCGTGCCTCGGCCTCCCACACAGCTGGGACTACAGGGGTCTACCATTGTTCTCAGCTTTAATGCTTAAATTTTTATTAAAAGCTTTTAATGATATATTTTTAACATACAGTCCAATGTTAACCATAAATTCATCCCTGAAACAGTTATATAATATTCTTGGCTCATGAAAAGCAAGATTTGCTGATCCTGCACTGGCTTTGATTTTGCTTTTTGATTTTCAGCAAGATTTTATTTTCCTCTTCAAATCTCAGTTAACCGTGTTAAGTAGCTGGCTGCATAAGGAACGTGTACTTGATGCTGGGAATGAGTTGACAACAGAACCAAATTATTTCAGTGATATCACGTAGAACAGGAGAAGGCCAAATAACAGTGTATTCCACACAAAAATAATATATTATCCTAAATACTCTTCTAAAGTATCTGTTTATATATCCATTGAACCAAGGAACCCCTAAAACCTATGACATGTATATGAGTCTGTGTTCATTAGAGGAACATTTTATATATATATATATATATATATATATATATATTAGACTGACAGTGGTGGCCTTCAGAGTCTGGTGTGAAATAATGCACAAGAGCATGCTGGAGATCTAAAAGATACAGTCAGAAATCAAATACCTGGAGCTCAGAAGCCAAAGAGTCACGGAAACGCTGAAGAGTCTGCACTGGAAAGTTAAGAGTCTGCTGTAGAAACCTGGAGACGGACATCCCAAGGCAGTACTCAAGAGCCTAATGGGACAATTAACAATGTGAAATAGGAAGAAAAGGGCTAAAGGTGTAGGGAAAGTGGGAAGGGTAGAGGAAGGGGAACAAGGGAAAAGAAAAAAATGTGAGAAAATGAAAAAATGGAATTAAAGTGTTTTTAAATGAGAGGAGGAGGGGGTGAAGGGAGGGTAGGGACAAGGGGAAAAAATGACAACCAAAACCTGTCATGTAAAGGTACAAGATCCCAGTAATGAATGTAACTGTACTGTATACCTAAAATGTACCAATAAACTCAGTTAAAAAAAAAAAAAAGAGAGAGAATGGAGCTCCTCCAAGGAAACAGAAACGAGACTTCCCTCTTTTTCCCCTTTTAATTCTATCTAGACTGCAAGCCTCTTTTATTCCATCCAGGCTACACTTAGGGTGAGTCTTCCCTCTTCAGTTAGTCCATCATTCAACACATCCTACAGTCAGCTGGGTAGTTTCTTACTCAAATCGACACCACAGTTAACTATCACACTCTATGTTTTGAAATATTATATAGCTGAAGTTGGAAAATTATAAAAATGTCTATCATAGAAATGGAAACTTTACAATCCAGTATGCCCCATAATGATAATAATTAAAAATTTTGACCCTAAATGTTTATATATCACTTCTCAAATCAGGAGATTAAAAGATGCAGGAAACTATCACCAGAGGGAAATTAACTAGTAGGACTAGAGTGAGAAATGATACACTCTTCATCCTCCTGCCCCACCCTCCCTAGGAATGTACTACCATGCCTGTAATCCTATTTTTATTAATGACATGGCCAACTTTAAATAACACGTTATTTGCCACTTTATTCACCTGCTATTTTCTCTGTAATACCTAACATAAAACTAGCCAATTTAATAGCATATCTTTTTTTTTTTT